ATCATGGCCTGAGCCAAAGTCAGATGCTTAATTGACTGAGCCACACCAGGCGCTCCCTGTGCAGCTCTTCCTGCCCATAGATCCTGTCTGCATGCCTTAATTAACCACCTTTTTGCACCAAAGATGTCTCAAGAATTCCTTCTTGACTGTTAGCTCCTAAACCCTAACATTTTTACATCATCTGGAAAATCAATCAATTGATCTCTCTTTCTACTCACATATCCATTTTGGTACATCTGAATCTCCATCAGGGATAATTTTCCTTGACCCTGAAGCACTTTCTTTAGTGTTTAAATACATGGCAAAGAGTCAGAGCACCTGGGTGGCCAGTCGGTTGAGCATCTGACTTCAGCTCAGGTCATGATCTCATGGTTTGTGGGTTCAAGCCCTGCATCAAGCTCTGTGCTGACAGCTCGGAGCCTGGAACCTGCTTCGGATTCTGTGTGTCTCTCTCTCTCTCTGCCCCTCCCCCACTCGTGCTCTGTGTGTGTCTCTCTCTCAAAAATAAACATTAACAATTTTTTTTTTTAATACACGACAAAAATAACAGCACAAAGGACCAGAGGGGAGTAAACAGAGCAAGCTGTTCTAAGGTTCTTCCATTGTGCACGAAGTGGTATAATACTGATTCACAGTAGACAGTGATGAGTTAAGGATGCGTATTGTAATTCCCTAAAACAGCAGTTCTTGGTGGGTGGTCCAAGTTTCCAACTACATATATCTGTGAGGCTGGATTTCCTTCCTCTTCTTCAACCAAAACAACATATCACAACAGATTGAATCCAGAAGGTTCAGGAAGCCAAATGTTGTCTATTAAGCCAGACATTTAAGAAATACACAAAGATGTGCAAACATTTACTACTCATCATAATAAATTTGGAGGAGGGAGAATACGGTTATAGTTCGTAAAAATGCATCATTTACACTACCAGGTAATGAGTCCATTATTGCTTTCTAAATGAATTAATAAAATTTTTTAAATGTATCATTTTCAATTTCTAATTTTTGAAGTGTTTATGATAAAAGTTGACAAGAGTCCATAATAATTTTGAAGTAGAAAACTTGAGCTCAAATTTTAAGAACCCCTGCTATAAAGTAGTAAAGTAAGGAGTATTTAAACATTAATCCAAAACAATGAAGAGACCCAATTTTAATATCCATCAGATCGGGGGAAATGTTTAAAATCAGACAAATACCAAGTGTTCACAAGAATGTAGAGAAATGACAATTATCCTATAATGCTGATGGAACTGTAAATCGGATAAATCTTTAGAGAGCAATCTGGCAGATTAAAACTGTCAGTTACTATTCAGGCACATTAGACTGGCAAAAACCTAGACGTCCAAGTTCGGCAACAATGTGCTAAAACGGAAACTCTTCCTGTACTGGTAGAAGGAACTCTGGAGAGCCACATGGCAGTATTTAGTGAAACTGAACTTGCACATACTCTATGGCCAGCAATTCCATCCTAGCTCTATACCCTAGATAGATACCCTAGGCATTATATGTATACGGATGTTCGTTTGTAATTATTACTGTTTTTTACGGAAATAACCTGCAGCACACGGTTGGTGGCCCACCCTTTTCCCTTGGACATTCTCCATTCCTGTGCACGCAGTCAGCTCAACCAGTGCTTAAAGCAGGTCCGAAATGCCCTTCCCACACCAGCATACAACTAATGACGACTGGAGTTGATGGGTAAGTCCTCCAGTTCCTCAACACTCAGTGGGGACGAGTCTGCAGTATTCTGTACTATCTCCTAGGAATCCCCAGTGGGACTGAGCCCCACCGGCCCACCACAATAACCTGTCTGTAATGCCCTTTTATTGGTTTCCTTCCCTTGGATGCCTCGCATCCCCCCTGCCCTGCCAATGCTTACTGAAATCAACTTCCAACCTTCCAAATAAACCACTTGCTCACACACCCTTGTCTCAGGGTGTGCTTTCTAATTCTAATTCAATTCTAAGGCCCAGCCAGAAGGCCTCTCAACAGGAAGCAGATAAATAACTCGTGGCTTACAATGGAACACAGATAATAGTCAAAATGCATCCAGAGCTACGTGCACCAACGTGGATAAATACTGAAAATAGAATTTTGTGTGACAAAAGCAGGGTGCAGAATAATAACACGATAACGTCACTTATGTAACTTATATTCCTAACCATTCATGCAGCTAGGGGTGTCCAGGCGACACGATTCTGGTAAGATAAAAACATAAGATGGCTAAAGAGGGTGGGTTCCTGGAAAGCACTGGTTCTTTTAATGAAAATAAAGAAAGATGGGGTGCCTAGGTGGCTCAGTCGGTTAAGCAACCAAACCTTGGTTTTAGCTCAGGTCATGATCTCAGTTTCATGAGTCCAAGCCCCACATCGGGCTCTGTGCTGGTAGCACAGAGCCTGCTTTGGATTCTCTCTCTCTCTCTCTCTCTCTGCCCCTCCCCTGCTCACGCTGTTTCGGTCTCTCTCAACAGCAAATAAACCTTAAAAATAAAAGAAAGAAAGAAAGAAAGAAAGAAAGAAAGAAAGAAGAAAGAAAGAAAGAAAGAGAAAGAAAGAGAGAGATGTGGCTTGAGACTTCCCTCACCACTCCTTCCCACCTTGATCGTGACATGAAGGCTGGAGCTGTAGCAGCCACTTAGTGTCCAGAAGGAAAAGGTCAAGGCAATCACAGAGATGCTAGCTCTGAGAGCGTTGAACCACTCTGCACCCGCCCTCTTGACTCTTCATTATATGAGGAAAGCAAATATAATTGTTTAAAGCTACTATTAATTGGGTTTCCTGTTACTTGTAGCTAAACACATTTCTAATTGGTGTCTGACCCAATAAAATAGACCCTGTTAACTGAAGTGCCCTTTTTTGGCTGGGGTGGGAGTGGGTGTGTAAGTTTAGGGTCAGGACCCAGACTAGAGCTGAGCCGCTCTGTGGAAGAGAGTAAGAGATTTGAAATTGGTGGCAAAGTTCTCTCAGTACGTAGAGAAAGAAGGCAAAGTCGATGGGCGCTGCACGAGAGGTGGGGTCAGAGACCACACACACCCTCCTCAGTGGTGACATGGCCAGATGTGACTTTAGAAAGAATAGAAATACCTAATGAAACAGAAGTATCGAAAATATGCGCCACGGCGTGTGTGGTGTAACTTCTAACTTCTCACAAAAAACCTCCAGCAAAGTCCACACAGCTCCCTCCTGCTTTGGGCATCGTGGGCCCTGGAGCCCAACAAGCTCTGCCACTAACTGATCCTACAGGCTTCAGCAAGTTACCTACTTAGCCTCTCTGGGCTTCAGTTTCCCCATCTATAAAATGGACACAATAGCAGTATCTACTTCAAAGGACTGTGGTAAAGATTCAAAGAGATACTACAGGTAAAACAACTAGCCTGGCACATGGTAAGTGCTCAGTGATTGTTTGTTATTATCGTTGTCATTACTGAAGCAAAGAAGCGGGGCTGGAGAGATGGGAAAAGGGAAGGAAGGAAGCAAAGAAGGGAGGGAGGGAGGTGGGAGGGAGGAGAGAGGAGGAATTTAGTTCTGCGTTTATTAGATTGCATGGGACCACTCACCGCTCTTTTCCCTTTGATAATCCATGGCCCTTGTAATTTTGATTCTGCAATGAGAAAAGGAAAGTGATGTAACTGGTTCTGCATATCCACTCTGCCTTCCCAGCTCAACTGACCGCAGATCTTAAAATGCTGAAACCATCAGATGTAATATCGCCCGATGCTGAGACAAGAAGGACCTGCCTGGCCAAGTTCACATTGGTCAATATGTGCCCAGCAACTTGGTCCTTGGGATAAATCCTCAGGTATTCAAGGGCCCACCTCATAGGATTGTTCCGCAAGCATGACCAGTAGAGTGAACACCTAGTTTTCAGCGCTCCAAAGGTCCAATCCCAGTTCTGAGGGCTGAGTTTTAAGGGCTGAGCTCAGCAGGCTCTGTGAGAAGGAGCTGAAACATGTTTGATTAGATCCATGATCCAGGAGTGGACTGAGTCAAAGGCTCGGAGCAAAGTTAATCTCTTGCATCCAAAATGGGCCTTTCAAATCCTCAAAGCGGAGTGGGTATTATTTTGCTTCTACCACGTCTAAAACAGTTTGGCCTTCAGTCCTGGCAAGACTGATCCCTAACGGCAGGTATGAGAAAGAAATCAAAATTGGTCTTGTGCAAGATGACTTCTGTAGCTTAGACAGACTTGTCATCTGCATTTGTTTTCTATTACTGTATAACAAATTACCACAAACTTAGTGGCTTAAAACAGCATAGATTTATGTCTTGCAGTTTCCGCTGGCCAGGAGTAGCTTAGCTGGATCCTCTGCCCAGGTCTCACAGGGCTACAGCCAAGGTGATGGCCTGCGTTATGTTTCTCATCCAGGGCTCGGGGTCCTTTTCCAAGATCATCCAGATTGTTGTCAGAATTCAGTTGCTTGGGGCTGCAGGACTGAGGTCTCTGTTTACTTGTTAGCTGTCGACTGGCGTCTGCTCTCAGCAGCTAGAGGCCACGCAGTTCCTTTCAACATAACCCCCTAGGCAGTTCACAACATGGATGTTTGCTTTCTTCCAGGCCAGCAGGAGCTCATCTCTCTGACTTCCAACCCTTTCCTCTCCAAGTCAGCCACGATAGAGTCCTATGCCATGCACAGTATACAATCACAGTCGTAACTATCCCATCAAATTCATAGACTCCACCCACACTCAAGGGGAGGGAATTACACAAGGTGTGTACATAAGGGGTGGGAATCTTGGGGGCCATCTAGAATTCTGCCTACCACACCATCCTATCCCTCAGAGGGATAGGGACAGTGGAAAGGGATAGAGAGTACTGCTTTATGAAACAGACAGAAACTAGCCCCCCACAAAAGCAAGTGAACTCTTATCTCAGTCATATACACAAGCCCCTCCAAGTACCCCAGGACTAGTCAGGTGTCCCACTCTTTTTTAAATTATTGTATCTTTTATACTCTTTCATGTTTTCAGTTCTATTTTCCATAAGTTTATCCAGTTGCTCAGAGTATTTGGTTGAAAAACTTTTCCTTTCCTCACTGAATTACATTGACTCTTCTGTCAAAATTCAGTTGACTGTGTATATGTGGGTCTGTCTCTAGACTACATCTTATTTGCTTATTTATCTACCCTTATGTCACCACCACACTGTCTTAATTACCATAGGTTTCTAGTAAATCTTGAAATCAAGTAGCATAGGTCCTCTAACTTTGCCTTTTTTCAAGATTGTCTTTGCAATTTGGGGTCATTTGCACTTCAATATAAATTTTAGAACCAGCTTGCTAATTTCTACAAAAAAAAAGCATGTTGGGATTTTACTGGGATTGTATTGAATCTATAGATCATATTGAGAAGTGACATCATTATGTATTGAGTCTCCCAATCCCTGAATATGATCTATCTCTTCATTCATTTAGCTCTTCTTTAATTTCTGTCCACAATATTTTCTAGTTTTCAGTACAGAAGTCTTGGACTTTTTTAAATGTTTATTTATTTTGAGAGAGAGAGAAAGCACAAGCGAGGGAGGGCCAGAGAGAGAGAGGGAAAGGGAGAATCCTAAGCAGGCTCTGAGCTGTCAGTGCAGAGCCTGACTCAGGGCTCACAAACTGTGAAATCATGACCAGAGCTGAAACCAAGAGTTAGACACTTAACTAATTGAGTCACCTAGGCACCTCCATTGGACATTTTAAATTAAATTATTTCATAGGACTTTGATTTTGTGATGTTATTTTAATTTTTTTTTTTTTTTTTTTTTTTT